GTGCAACTAGAAAAACTACCTTGGGCCGGGCGTGGTGGCTCACGCCTATAATCCCAGCACTTTGGGAGGCTGAGGCGGGCAGATCACGAGGTCAGGAGATCGAGACCATCCTGGCTAACACAGTGAAACCCTGTCTGTACTAAAAATACAAAAAATTAGCCGGGCGTGGTGGCAGGTGCCCGTAGTCCCAGCTACTCGGGAGGCTGAGGCAGGAGAATGGCGTGAACCTGGGAGGCAGAGATTGCAGTGAGCCGAGATCGTGTCACTGCATTCCAGCCTGGGCAACAGAGCGAGACTCTGTCTCAAAAAAAAAAAAAAAAAAAAAGAAAAACTACCTTAGGCGGGCGCGCCGGTGGCTCAGCCTGTAATCCACGCCGTGGGTAGGCCGCGAGGACGGGCTGGATTTTCCAACGGGAGGTCAGGACCGCCATCGAGACCATCCTGGCCTACCACGGTGAACCCGCTGCTACTAAAAAATACAAAAACTAAAGCCGGGCGAAGGTGCGGTGCCTGGTTAGTCCCAGCTACTCGGGAGGCTGAGGCAGGAGAATGGCCGGAACCCGGAAGGTGGAGCTTGCAGTGAGCCGAGATCCGGCCACTGCACTCCAGCCTGGGCGATAGAGCGAGACTCCGTCTCAAAAAAAAAAAAAAAAAAAAGAAAAACTACCTTAGACAAAGTAAGTTAAAAGACAAGCAGCAGACAAGGAAACGATATTTGTAACATACATAATTAGCAAATAATTATATTCAGAATGTAGAAAGTATTTCTAGAAATGAATAAGAATAGAAAAGCAGACAAAGTTTATTCCAAGGCAATTTTCAGATGAGGAAAACTATAGCTAATAAACAGTCAGATACCTTGAACTTACTTGTTATCAAGGAAATGTCAATTAAAACAATTTTACCATTTCTCACTTATTAGATTGTCAAAAAGGATGAGCACATCAAGAGTTATGAAGGAATAGGGAGTTGGGAATTCTCATATTCTGCTGGAGGGAATGTATATTAGGATAGCCATTTTGGAGAGTCATATTGAAAATGTGCCATATTCTGAAAATTTTACTTATTTATACTCCAAGAAAAACTCTTATACATGTGGGCAAAGAGGCATTTACAAGGATGTACTAACATTTCTTAAAGTGTCATTGGTGTGTGGATGACTTGTCTGTGCATCACCAGGACTCCTGGTTAAACTGGCCCTATCCCATACCTACTGTATCAGTCAGGGTTCTCCAGAGAGAAACGGAGCCAATAAGATATGTACATAGATATATAAGAGGAGATTTATTATGAAAATTGTCTTATGTGATTATGGAGGCCAAGCAGTCTTACGATCTGCCTAATGCAAGCTGGAGAACAAGGCAAACTGGTGGTGTAATTTGATCTGAGTCCAAAGCCCTGAAAACCAGGAAATCCAATGTCCCAGGGCAGCTCAAGAAGAGAATACACCTTTCCTCTGAATTTTTGTTCTATTTAGGGCCTCAACAGATTGGACGATGTTCACCCGCGTTGGTAACAGCAGATCCTTTTTTTTTTTTTTGAAATGGAGTCTCACTCTGTCACCCAGGCTGGAGTACAGTGGTGCAATCTCAGCTCACTGCAACCTCTGCCTCGTGGGCTCAAGTGACCCTCCTGCCTCAGCCTCCCGAGTAGCTGGGGTTACAGGCACTCACCACCACGCCTGGCTAACTTTTTGTATTTTTAGAAGAAATGGGGTTTCACCATGTTGGCCAGGCTGGTCTTGAACCCCTGGCCTCAAGTGATCTCTCCTAGGCCTCCCAAATTGCTGGGATTACAGGCATGAGCCACTGCACCCGGCCTGACCTTCTTTACTTAGGCTACTGATTCAAATGCGAATCTTTTCTGGAAACACACTCACAGACACACTTAGAAATAATGTTTTACCAGCTATCTGGGCATCCTGTAGCCCATTCAAGTGGACACATTAAAATTAACCATCACATCGACGAGATCAGAATTTCCAGGAGTTGGGGCCTGGGAATCTGCATCTTTACCAAGGTGTTCCCTTGTAAATTCGAAAACTATTGCTGTTTTCTTAATCATAAGTGGTCTAGTTTTTATATATTTCATTGCTTAATTCTGCTAATTGTTTTGCAAATGAGTAGTGTTATATGGTTCACAGAAAAGTGTGAGAAAGGAGGCCACTAATATCCGTAATGCTTGCCCTACTCCAAAGATTCTTTGAAATTTGAAGATAATTTTTTCTGCGTGTATATATATTATGGGTATATATTATACATATTTTAAACTTGTTATGGAACATTTCAAATACATATACAAAGAGAATAATGCAACAAACCCCCATATGTCCATCATCCAACTATGTCCATCATCCAACTTCAATCTTGTTTCATGTATATTCCCTCACACACTTCACCCTGAACCCCCCCATGTTATTTTCAGTGCTGTTTCTGATATCATATCGTATCATTTTATCTGTAGATATTTTGTTCATGTATCTCTAAGAGATAAGGACTAGTTTTTTTTTTCCTCAAGACAGAGTCTAGCTCTGTCACCCAGGCTGGAGTCCAGTGGTATGATCTCAGCTCACTGCAACCTCTGCCTCCTGGGTTCAAGCAATTCTCCTGCCTCAGCCTCCCGAGTAGCTGGGATTACAGGCATGCATCACCACGCGTGGCTAATTTTTTGTATTTTTAGTAGAGATGGGGGTTTCACCATGTTGGCCAGGCTGGTCTTGAACTCCTGACCTCGTGATCTGCCCACCTCGGCCTTCCAAAGTGCTAGGATAACAGGCATGAGCCACTGTGCCTGACCGATAAGGACTAGTTTTTAGACATAATCACACCATCATTACATCTAAATGAATTAACAATACAATAATTTGTTTATATGAGCATATATCCAGTCAGTATTGACAAAATTCAGTGTTCATATTTCTCCAATTGTCTCACATTTTTAGTTTTTTTTTTTTGTTTATTTATTTTTTTGAGACAAGGTCTCATTCTGTCTCCCAGGCTGGAGTGCAGCGGCATGATCTCAGCTCACTGCAGCCTCAACCTCCTGGGTTCAAGCTATCCTCCCAACCTCTGCTTCTTGAGTAGCTGGGACTACAGGAGCCCCACTGTGCCTGGCTAATTATTTTGTATTTGTAGAGGTGGGGGTTCCATCATGTTGTCCAGGCTGGTCTCGAACTCCTGAGCTCACTGGCCTCCCAAAGTGCTAGGATTACAGCATGCGCCACCACACCTTACCTACAGTTTGTTTGAATCAAGATTGAAATGAGCCAGGTGCCGTGGCTTGTGCCTGTAATCCCCCCACTTTGGGAGGCTGAGGCAGGTGCATCACTTGAGTCCAGTTCAAGACCAGCCTGGCCAACATGGCAAAACCCTGTCTCTATGAAAAATACGAAAATTACCTGGCTGTGCTGGCGTGCACCTGCGGTTCCAGCTACTCAAGAGGCTGAGGTGGAAGGATCACTTGAGCTTGGGATGTCGAGGCTGCAGCGAGCTGTGATTGCACTACTACACTCCAGCCTGGGCAACAGAGAGAGACCTTGCCACAAGAAAAAAAAAATGAAATGAAGTTCATACGCTGCCATTGATTAACATGTCTTTTAAGTCTTTTCTAATCTATTGATTTCCCCTCCTATTTTTTTCTAATAATTTATTCATTGAAGAAATTTATTTGTTAAATGTTGAATTTTTCTTATAATTTGTTTTCTTATAATTTATTTGTTTATTCTTATCTTTCATTTGTCCTTTAGAGTTTCTCATCAACTGGATTTTGTTGACCGCATCCCTGTGGTTTAATTGATATGTTTCTCTGTTTCCTGTATTTCCTGTAAACTGGTAGTTAGAGCTAGAAGGTTAATCAAACTTAGGATCAAACTCAGGTTTGTTCTTTTTTTTTTTTTGTCTAGTAGCATTTTGTCCTTCCATCTTGAGGCATATTTCTGGTTTTCTCTCTGCTTAGCAGCCATCAATGATCATTGCCAAGGTCCATTAATTCATTAGGTGTTGCAAAATGGTGATATTCTAATTTCATCAGGACTTCTTCATGTATTAGTTGTAATACTTCTATTGAAAGGAAGGTCCCTTCATCAACTATTTGGTTACTCTGAGGAGTAGATCTTACAGGCTTCATCTCTTTGCCTTTACTGGTTTTCAAAATATTGGTTCCCTAGCATTCTCCAAAAGTGATCATTTTAAAAAATTGAAATATGACTCTCATACTATCAAATTCGCCCTTTTAAAGCATACATACAATTCACTAATTTCTAGTACATTTACAACGTTGTGCAACCATCACCACTAGTTGATCATTTTTAAAGTCTCATAAATTCATTAATATATCCACTGTGTTTCAATCCATAGCAATTATTTTTTTTGACATTCAAATTTTCTTAACGTTAGACAACTGGAGCCTTCTTAAACTGGCTCCTGAAAACTTTAACACACTCCTAGTAAGCTTAGATACTTTCTTCTTTCGCTTTCTGCTATAAGGAGTTGTTCCTGGCTTATCTTATACTTTCCTGCTCCAGCCCTGGAATCAATCACTTCTCCCTTTCCTTTGGTGGAAAACTGTAGAGGCCCCAACTTGGACACCAGAGGTGCTCACTGCTACTGCTCGTTGTTTCTAGGTCTCTATATTGATTTTTTTTAATCTCTTTAGTGGAGCTAGTTTGTTTGCTGTGCCCTGTGATTTATAATCCATGAAGAATTTGACTATTATATTCAGGAATTAAACAATGTCTTGTTCAACTAATGACTCATGTAAAAAGCACTGCTTGAAAATCACCTATTTGCCAGTCATTGTTTATTTTAAAATTATTCTCCTTGGGGAGAGTGTGTGGCTTACGGGCTCAGATGAAAAATTATTAATTGGCATTAATTATGGCCAACTGAATTCCAACAGAAGATGCGACTTGCTCACGCTAAGTATAACCTAAGTATCAGGTATCAGATAAATGGTTAATTTTTATAGGGCATGCTTAGTTCAATAAAACTAGGGCCTTTCTGGGGGAAGATAAATATTTTTTAATGTTTGGGATACGAAAAAAAAAAAAAAAAGAATGACCACAACTTTATTCAAGAAGGTGTACATATTTTCATAAGCCAATAATGTATTACTTCTTATTTGAATTCCCATCAGTCTCTGATGTGGAGTGAAAATCAACAGCTTCTTTTTTGACTAATCTTTCTCCGGGAAAATGATTGAAAGGCCTTCTATCGTTTCTGGCTCAAGGACCTATAAACATGTCAGAGATTTTTAGTTAAGTTATTAAAACACTGTCAAAACCGTGAGTAAATGCTTTTAACTATCTGATGTACATTAACAGCTCCGAAGGAACAAATATATTTTAGCACGTAATCAAAATTCCTTTTACTGCTTTGAAACCAGCTATTTTGTATTCATAGCATTCTCTTTTGAAATGTTCTGCTCTCGACCTCCCTAGATAAAATTTCCTTTTATTATGTTTACTTGAGAAAATGAAAGTACTTAGGAATGTTTTTATTTTGCCTTACACAGCCTCCTTATTCGAGTTCCCCAAGGGCAAGCACATCTTTGTTACTTCCTGCGCCCAGAATTCTAAAGGTGCCTAATACGAAAACAATTATCAAAATTATCAAGGCAAGATAGGCTGCAGTAGGTCCTTTAAATGCAAGATGTCTGGTGCTTAATTACCAAATGCTTTCAAGGATCTTAGGTGTCCTCAAGGTCCTATTGTGAGTACTTTCATAAAATGCATTTTGTATTTTATCACATCAAACAATTTCTGATCTCTGCTGTTTACACTTCCTTTTCATCTTCACTTTATCATGAGTATAATACTAAGTGTACTTCTAGTGAAATGATTTTTATCATTGTTCTTTTACCAGTTTAACAATGTTCTTTACAGACTTCCATAAATGGGCTTAAAGTACAAATTACTTTTTTTTTAAACTTAAGAAAATATAGTTGACCTTATCTGTATAGTCATCTATAAAATAACCGGACTTTATAAAGTTTGCTGGACTTTCATAAAGGTTTATCTAATCTAATAGAACTAGGCCATCCTTTCTTTGTTTCCCACCCAAGTTAACAGTCTCTTCCTGTATGAAAAGTAATGACAAAGGGCTTTTTGAAAGTATCAATCCCTAAACTACTTGTGATCTTTTAAACTGAGAAAACATCTTTTTCTTTTATGCTTGCCTTGGACACTGTTTTCTTAAGTGCTTTACACTGGTGGATGTATAAGTATTTGATGGTAATTATGGAAAAACTAACAATAATGGTGACATTAGGTTTTTCTGTCTTGAACATGCTGCTTACAGTTGCATGGATGATGAAGTGAGGTTCTATTCTTTTTTTTTTTTTAATAGAGACGAGGTCTCACCATGTTACCCAGGCTAATCTTGAACTCCTGGGCTCAAGTGATCCTCCCGCCTCAGCCTCCCAAAATGCTGTGATTACAGGAGTGAGCCAGGGAACCTGGCTTCCATTCTTGCCATTCCGTAGCATCAAACTGAGGCCTTTGGAAAGTACTTAAACGCTGGTTATCAGTGTTTTGAAATATTAATGTGGGTGGCCGGGCACAGTGGCTCACACCTGTAATCCCAGCACATTGGGAGGCCGAGGCGGGTGAGTTACCTGAGGTCAGGAGTTCGAGACCAGCCTGGCCAACATGGTGAAACCCCGTCTCTACTAAAAAAATAGAAAAATTAGCCAGGTGTGGTGGCATGCGCCTGTAATCCCAGCTATTTGGGAGGCTGAGTCAGGAGAATCGCTTGAACCCGGAAGGCGGAGGTTCGGTGAGCCGAGACGGCGCCACTGCACTCCAGCCTGGGAGTGCAAGAAGTATTAATGTGGGCACCCAAGCTATTTCTCGTTTTTTTTTTTTTTTTTGATTGACACAACATTGCTTAGTTTCGCTTACCTTTCTGTAAAATTTCTGTGAAAGTGTGTATCACAGCCTGATGTAATTTTTATAAACAATGAATACATGCTGTTACTATTTTTGAAAGGAAATTTAATCGCTTGGAAAAATTCAGACTAAAGCCCCGCGAGGAAAATTACCATCCAGTGCATGCTCAGAGATTTCTTCTTACTCTACTTTTGTTTTTCCTTTTTGAAAGCATTTGTGATTGAGAGATGTCTGAGGGAAGGGACAAAGTGCATTCTGGGAGTTTTAAAGAGTTATGTCAGGCAACTAAAATACGTGGCCTCTGTATTTAGAGATTTCAAACCAGTATACTATTTGCTTTATAATTTTTGTGTTTCTTATTGTTTACAAATGTCTTTTAACATTTAGTGCTGTGTGGAAGGATAGCATGCCAGATTCCAGATTAATGTAAAGACTCCACTATTTAACTTTTCCCTAGTAACTCTAAAACAGTTTGGGTTCCAAGTTCAGCATGGAAAGATAGCATAAACATTTAAACTAAGTAAAGTGCAAAATGCACATTTTTGAAGTTGGTAAGTGCTGTTTAATCATTTTCCTCTCCTCTCCCAAGTCTTTTGAAACTTCAAAAGGCTTGTTTAAGCAGTTTGTTTAAAAAAAAAAAAATCCATACCCAGTTGGGCTCCTCTCTATTAAGGAATGTGGAAAATTCATGATTTATGAAACGATGACACCAGTCTTACATTTCACAGGCTCCCCAAGCTCTGAAACACGGGTACATAGGAAAATACACAGAAAATTCCTGTTCTTTGCAACGTGCGAAACGTTTCAAAATGCAACTTTGCTCATCTCCCTCCCCCGTACAAACTAATAAAATCAGTTTGGCTCTCTGACTGCTTATTTTTAAAAAGTAGACGGCCTGGTAGGTGCTCTAGGGATAACCCTTCTCCCCCCACTCCACCCCCCTTCCCGCACACCCTTTTAGACTGGCAAGCCCGTTTTCATTTTATTTCAAAGATTTTTTTTTTTTTTTTAAAGCGAAGGCAGGGGACGGCGGGGGTTGCTAAATTTATCTTCCTCCCCAGCCACGGGGATGAAGAAAACACATTTACTGCGGGCGGGGGTCTGAGGGCCTGCAAACAACTCAAGCTGGAGCCTCGGCCAGGACTGGCGCGAGAGGCGGTAGGTCTCCGGGGAGGCCCCCGGGGGGCGGCCGCGGCCCACGGGACATGGTGGGGGGCGGCCGGGCCGCCTGCCTCTCCGCGGGGTCCGCCGACCGCGGCCCCGCGCGGGCTTTACGGCCGAGGCGGCGGCAGCGGCGCGTGTGTGGCGGCGGCGGGCGGGAGCGCGGAGGAGGTGGAAAGAAGGGGGGCGCTGTCACTGAGACTCCGGCCGCCGGAGACCCCGCCGCAGCGAGGCCACTGGGCTCCCCGGTCGCGGGGCGGGAACGGCGCCGACCCGGGGCGCCAGAGGGACCCACCGGGCGGAGGAGGGGGCCTGTCTACCCTTCCGCATTTTCCTGGGTCTCTCTCCCGGGCGGTGACGTGACGTGCTGACGGCGGGCCCGTGCCGGGGAGCTGGGCCGCTTTTTGTCAGCTCCGAGCTCGGCCCCTCCTCCCTCCCTCCGCCCGCCCCACCAGCCGGAGCCCGGCCCAGTGCTCCAGAGAAAGGCCGGCCTGCAGCACCCGCCACCGTCGCCGGCCGCCCGCACGCCCGTCCGGTGAGTCCCGGGTGCCGCCGCGGCCGCGGGGCCTAGTGTGCGCACAGCGGCCTGGTCTTGGCCTGGTCGGCGGCCCGCAAGGCGCCCTCCCGCGCTAGGCCGAGCGGCGTGGCGTGCGGCGCCGAGCAGGCCCCGAGGAGGCCGCAGTTAGGCCCGGGGAGGAGCCCGGCTGCCCCGAGCGGCGGCGGAGGCGCGCTCCGTAAGCGGGCGGGGGTTGGGGGAGGGTCGCCCGGTTGTGCCGGAGGCGGCCGAGGGGCCCCGAGTCGGCTCCGCGGCCGACCCGGGGCACCGCGCCGGGGTGAGGCCTGGCGAGGAGGCGAAGGCTGCAGGCGTGAGGTGAAGGCCGCAGGCCGGCCGGGCCGATTTTCGCTATGTAAATATCGGTGAGGGGGGGGGAGGGACGGGGGACAAGATGGCGGCGGCTCGGCGCCTGCTGCAGGGGACGATAGAGGGGGTTGCCGGGAGGGGGAGCCGCCATCTTGGAGGCGGTGTCTGGAGAGAAAATTCCGCTACAGCCCGTGAGGGGGGGTGGGAGAGCGGGCGGCGGCAGCAGCGGCGCCGGTGACGGGCCCCGGAGGCCCGGCGCGTTGGCGTGTGCGCGCGGAGGGGCGTGCTCGCTCCCCGTGGCGGCCATTGCCCTTGCCGCCATGATGAGCGCTCGGGCTGCAGGCGCTCGGCGGCAGCGCCACCTTCCTGCCTTGCCTTCCGCAGCCCCGTGACTGGCTGCAGTTTCCGCTGCGTTTCAGCTGAGCTGCCGCAGGCGGCGACCGCCGCCTCCCGGGCGCCGGGACTATTTCACCCTCAGCGCCCCCGGCCCTGCGCCTTTACCCCGCGCCTGTAGCCACCCGAGGGCAGTCGGGGCAGGTGGCAGTCCGGACACCTGAGCTTACAGGGCATACGGGACCCCAGGAAATGTTATTTTTGCTTAAGTCAAATCTATGTGGGTGCTAAGGTGTTTTCGATGCGGTTGTTTTCCCAACAATCTTTACCGCCCCGAGTATCTGAATAAAGAAAAATAAAGATTGATGGGAAAGTTTTTGCCATTCTTTTGTCCTATAGGAAAAAAAATTACACAACACGAAAGCGGAGGAGTGAAATTTTGAATCATTCGTACTCATTTATGTGGAAACAACTTTCTTGAAACACGATTTAAGCAATTAGTGATCTGTTAGTGGTATTTTTTGATTGAGGAATAAGAAGGGCAGACGTTTTCTATTTTCGTATTGGTGGACAACTTAGTGTGGTGCATATTGTGCATTTGTCTGTCATGTTATTTCGATTTTTCATTTGTGAAGTTTTAAGGCGGAGTTTCATTCCCTAACGTACTTTTTTTATTGCACACTGTACAACTTTCTTGATAAACTGGGAGCCTACTGTTAGCGATGCACCGTGCTAGATGCTAAGAAACATTAAAAAGGTTCTTGTAATGCAGACGGTGGCTGCAAGAAGTCTTATGTTTAGAGGTAGGTGGGGCAAGGTGAAATGCAGTAAAGTGAGAGGTACAACTAATTACTGGGACTTCCGAGGGAAGCAAGATTCCCATTGGAGGATCAGGGAGGGACGGGTTCCTGAAGTATTAATAGGTGGCATTTTGAGAAGGTTACCGAGGGATGGGTAGGACTTTGTTAGGTAGAGGTGGAGGTGGAGAAAGGACGTTTCAAGGGTGAAGCTTCTTCAGTAAACAGTAAGTATTTACAGTTTGGCAAAAGTGGATGTTATTGGTAGGGGAGTGGTGGGAATTCAGGCTAGAAAAGTTAGATTGCAGAAGAGCTTGCTTGCCAGGTGAAGGGTCTTATACTCAATGGGGGAGGCAGCAGGGGTGCCCTCAACTAGAAGAGTGATGGCACACCTGAGCTGCACCTGGTTATTTACATATTTATTTTTTATTTTGAGACAGGTTCTTGCTATATTGCCCCAGGCTGGTCTCGAACTCCTGGGCTCAAGCCGTTCTCCCGACTCCCACTGCCCGCCTCCCACTGCTGTCTGTTCCCTGAGCTGTGCTTTACGGTACTTAGTAGTTCCATTGGACTAGGAAAAGTTTCAGAGTTGAAAAATAATGAGAGTAGTAAGTTGATCAATTTTTTTTTTTTTATCAGAACGATTACAAGAATGTTCAGAAGTTAAGCAAATTTTGCTACTTTTGGAACGATGCGTCTCTGTTAAGACAGCTGCTCCTTTTTTCTGTCGTGATTTCTCATCCGAAATAATCTTTTGCTCAGAGTTGTCAGAATTTCTGTGGTACACAAATAGGGAGGAGTTTCTAACATTTGATTTACCATAGTTGGAAAGTACAGGACTAGTGCTGTGGATTATTTGACGAAAATGAGAAATGAGTATTCCCGTGGTAATTTTTTTTTTTTTTTTTTTTGAGACCGAGTCTCGCTCAGGCTGGAGTGCAGTGGTGTGATCTTGGCTCATTGCAACCTCTGCCTCCCGGGTTCAAGTGATTCTCCTGCCTCAGCCTCCCGAGTAGCTGGGACTACAGGATCCTGCCACGAGGCGGGGTTTCATGTTGGCCAGGCTGGTCTCGAACTCCTGACCTCAAGTTATCTGCCTGCCTTGAACTCCCAAAGTGCTGGGATTACAGGCATGAACCACCGTGCCCTGCCTGTTTCCTAGAATTTTATGATGTAAACCTTTAGGTGGCATAGATACCCATTTTCAGTGTTTCCGTTTTTCTATACTGTAACAGGTCATGAGCAGCAGTGCTCCATGAAAGGGCTGGAGGGAATGCGAGTCTCATGTTTATTATAAAGGGCTGTGGTTTAGAAAAGTTCGAGAAACAGTGCATTGCATGAGGCTGACTAGAAGTAAGTTGCGAAGGCGGGCTGTGGTTGTTGAGGTGTTAAGGGTAAACATAAACTTAGAAGAACCAGGTGCTTTTATATTTTGACAGCTGGGAAAGACATAGAAGAACTATTAAGAAGATAGAATTGTTTTGCTGCCCAGTACAGCAACAGTGGATGTTCAAGATTAAGATTAGAGTCAAGTTGTGTGATTAAGACAGGTAAGTGTGTAGTTTAGTTTCAATTAGAAATGGTTAAATATAAAATTATTTCTGCCTGAAAGGGTAGACCTTGAAACTTTGGGAAACTTTGGAAAATTGACTGGTGGAACACCTTCGAATCCAACCACCCTGGATAAATAAGGTGTTAGTTTTTAATTTCTGTGTATTTTTCAGATAGATGCAGATTTCTTTTTTTAAGAAAACATGCTCAAGAATGTGTTACAATGTTTTTTTCCACATTGTTTTTTGTAAATGCTTACTCTCATTGCAAATGCTTCCTCTCACTTAACCCATCTAGACTGATACTGTCACTGATAATCTTCTTTGTATTATTTATTCTTGTGTACACTGGCAATTCCAAACTTTTTTTCACTCTTGAAACTACTCAACTGGTCCTTGAAATCTCTCACCTTCAGCAAAGATTACCCAATCTTTTACTTCACTGAGAAGGGTAGATGGCCATCTGATAAAGAGCCAAGTCTCCCTCCCTTCCGCTTCGTGCCTTTCCTCTGTCTTCACCTAGGCCTTCCTCCTTTTGCCGCAGGGGGGATTGCAGGAGGGATTGCTCTCTCACAGGCCCCACTGCTGCTCTGCGCGTGCTCTTCACCGTGGCTGCCTCCTTAGGGACGGAGCTCTGTCCGTGATGCCGTCTCTTGCATCATTATCCTCTCTTTACAAATATTCCTAGGTTTGCTCATCTTACAAAAACCTCACCTATCTTCACTTTCTTTTCATCCCACTTATTCTTAAACCCAGTATTTCCCGAATTGGGAAACTTGCACAGCATGTTAACAGGTGTATTATATAAAAGTGCTCTGTGTTTCAGAAACTCTGTGCCTTCTCTGTCTTCTATGGTGGGATTCCTCTTAATTTAGCATTTAATGTATTATATTTGAACTGTGTGTTTATGTTTTTCTCTTCTACACTGTGAATATAGAGACAAGTTCTCATTTATCTTTGTCTCCAAGCAGTACCTGGCATATGGACCATTATCTCTAAAAGCAATCATTTCAGTTATTGGGTGCAGAGAATTTTATGTAGTTGAATAGTTTTCAGCTGTTCAAAATCAGGTATCTAGTCAGTGTGTTTTTTGACTAAGGGATATACATATTAAGGCACACTTATTAGGGCACCAGGTCAAGGAGTAACCCCCTCCCGCCACCCCTTATCTGATTGGAATATGGCCAGCCTATTCTTATTCCTGCCAAATTATTTTTCCAGACAACATTTTATAAAACCCAGGTATCTTGTAATTGTATTTTACTCAAAGGAAGTATACTCTAAGGAAATTGTGTGGCCTTGAGTACACAGCCATTAGGCATTTAAAAAATATATTTAAAAAGTGTTATGGAATATTTTAAAATTACTGAAAATCAGAATCATCCAGATTTAAGAGCTCTTAATGTTTTGCTACATATTTGATTCATATCTTTTTGTTGTTTAAAGAAATAAAATCTCACAGATTGAAAGGGTCCCTCCCCATCCTCTTTCTGTCTTCTTTTCACCAGAAGTAATCACTTGTACCAATATATATGTACCAAAACAATATCAGGTATCGCTTGTGTGTTCGACTTTACATAAACAGTATCATAACCATACCTTATATATTATTTTCACTTAACAGTGTGTTTTTGAGATTTATTCATGCAATGTGTTTATCTAGTCCAGCAGTTTTCAAAGTGTGCTCCAGGGATTCCTGGGGATCCCTAAGATTGTTTCAGGGGGTCCATGAAGTCAAAACTATTTTCGTAATACTTTTTATTTGCCCTTTTCACCCACATTTTCGTGTATACTATAGGAATACTGTACAGAGGCTGCATGACATATGGTATCATAATGGATGGAATGCAGAA